CCCGGCCCTGACCTGCCGCCGGGCGGACGCCGCCACTCGCCGCCTCCCCTCAGTGCTTCCGGGTTGTTGCCGAAGCGCCGACAGCACCGCCCTGCCTGGCCTTCAGCAGCCAATCAGAAGCCGCCGCAACATCCGGGCACGCCGCAGCTACCCTACTTCCGCCCGGCCGAGCGGCCGCTTCCTTTCCTTCTCATGACGTCAGAGACCGGCCCTGAACCTTAAAGGGGCAGCTCCCTTCTCGGCTGCACAGCTCCCCACCCCCAACACACCCGTTCTCACCCCCAAAACACCCGTTCTCACCCCAAAACGGTCCCGTGGAGAGGCCAGGCTCCACCGCCCAACAAGCCTCCGCCCGGGTGAGAGCCGAAGCGCGGACCCTGCAGGGCTCGTCAGGCCCAGCCCGGGGGAAATAACCGGTTCCCCACCAGGGCTCGAGGTTTACACACTGCAGAAATTTACTTCAGCAAAAGTGGGTGAAAAGAGAAAAAAAGATCAGCTAGTTCCAGACCGTATCCTATTTCTTGTTATGTATTAAGGAAATCATGGAAAAGCCCTTTTCATTGAAGGTTAAAGGGATGGATGCTCCTGAGGATGTTTCTTTAGGGTTATTCCTATTTGGGTCCAGGTTTATTCTCCACATCCCTCAAGGAGACGGGCTACAATGACTCTGGTACAACACAGGGTTAAAAAATTTCTGTCAGATTTGTAAAAGTACCAAAGGGCAGGAGGGCGAAGAAAAAATTCTTAAAAAAGAGCTGTGTTAATGTTAAGAACACCTGCATTTGCAGTTCCCGACTGCTGGTGGAACAAGCAAAGCCACTCGTTCAAGTGGCAAGTGACCCATCTTGGAGCTGCTCCAGGGTGAAGATGCAGCCCTGGACAGGTTTTCATCGCGTACAACGTTCCCTATGCTGTCACAACAGGTTTCCTACGCCGGCGCCTGCGTTTCCTGGCCGTTTGTGTTTCCTGGGGCAGGTAGAAGTGAGGGCTCTGGCGGGGGAAGCACAGTCCATTGCGCTGCTCATTAGAGGGCAACGAAACCTGACAGTTCCTTGCTGTCAAACTGCATGGCTGCCTTTGCTCAATCGCCACATGCTTGTGCGCCAGCTCTTGGTGTTGTGCCTGTGCCTTGGCCCCTCGTCTGCGATTCTTCTTGGTGCTGCCAGAATTTCTGGAAGAAAATTCAGAAGTCAGTACCAGGAGAAGTCACGTCCCCATTCCGTCCCTCTGTACACGGAGCCTGACAGGGCTAGCTGTGAATCTCCTCGGCTCCTCCAGGTTTACCCGGTCCCTTTTGCTTCAGCCTGAATGATGAGACACCCAGGAAGAACGCCCAGCAAGCAGCTTATTTCCTACATGTGGATTTCTTACAGTAAGGGAAGTTTTCAGCAGGAAACACTTTGTATGCCCCTGAAGACGTGAAGAGGGGGGCTGAAGGAGCCACTGCTCTGGCTACCACACAACTGCTCCTGAGATGGTTTTGGAGCCCCCCACCCAGCTAGGAACTGCCAGGACACCATCTCCCATCTCGGGCGTGCACACCCCAGGCCAAGAGGAAGTTCTTTACCTGCATTCATTCACTGTTCCCCTGCCATCCCTGCTGAGACAGAAGCAGCCTCAGAACAGTTACCACTTCATTCTCAGGGAAGAGCTGCCTCACTTGGCACCCCAGTCAAGTCCTCTTGTCCCTGAAACCTCTTAAGACAGCTCAAGATCATTTCAGTCCCACCACAAACTAGCACCAACACTGTCAGTTATGTTATTCCACAACTACAGGCACAAGTGTGTTATTCAGAGGCAAAGACCTTTGCTGCTGTAGAGAGAAGGAACACGTCAACATCAGTATGGAGGCTCTACACAACTTTCAGGGAGGTTTCCTCCCCCCCCCTCCACTGCAGAGCTGGCAAGGCAACGGGTGCTCTCTTGCGTGAGTTGTAGCTTGTAACAATCCAAGTTTAAGTTTCTCAAACATGAGAAAGCAGCTTTTTTCATCAGCTCAGCTGTACAGCACGAACAGAGGCAAGAAGCAAAAGCCTACCTGGGCACCGCTAAGGGGGATTGGTCCGAACACTGTGGATGAGGTTTCGCTGTCTGCTTTTTAGTATTTGGTGTAGCACTGGCTTTTTCTCTGAAGGGGCCCAAGCCCAAATTCTGTAGTTCACAGCTCCTTAAAAAGAATTCTGTATGCCTTGACTGTGTCCACAAACTATTCACCAAGTGATCACAACAGCTCTTTTACACTTAAAAACCCCATCCCTTTGCATCACTGCTCCCTGAAATAAGGAAGGGCAGCAGGCCTGTGGAGATCTTTTAAACCCAACTGCCCACCTTCCTCCTTACTCATTCCTTCCATTCCATCTCCCTTCCTAGGAGCTAGTCACATTTAACATCTGTTGCTCGACAGCAGCTGTCCCTGGGCACATGCACTTGCTCATGCACACAAAAAGACTTACTTTTTTACAGATCTCTTCTGAAGATCTTCGATATAGTTGGTTCTCTCTATAGGATGCCCTCGAGCCCTGTTGAACACTGGCGAGAGACAGATCCAAGTTACAACAACGCTCTGTACGAGTCATCTTTGGGGCTGCAGAACACTTAAAACCCTTTAGAAGGATTTTAACCCCTTCAACCAATACTTCCACACTCTGCTCACATAGGGTGATTCCACTCAGCGTACCACCCTTCATACGACAGCCTGTGACAAGACAGACACGCAGGCAGAGCTGCAGCGCAGCACTATCCGACTTGCGCTCAGTGCCCCCCACATTCACTCAACCCTGGTTAGCTCCACAGATGGGCCATAAACTTAATTCCTTCTTTCCAATTACCTCAAAGAACTCCCAACACCTCCCCTCCTCCAGCTCCTGTTCTACACAACAGGAAAACACACATACACATACAGCTAAAACACAGTTGCCTCCCTGGAGCTAGCCCAAACCTTTTGGCCACTGAAAAATCTAAAACCACAAGCCCACGATAAACATTTTGCATCCGAACAAGAAGAACATATGTGTACATACACTCTATTGCAGTGTTTGGCTCCATGCCTTCAACATCAATCAGGTACCTGAACAGATCAGTAAGAAAGCTCTAATTACACAATTAACTATGGAAACATTGACAGGTTAATGATGATTCAAAAAGAAAGAATAACTGGGAAGTTTTTAGAGCTTCTGTTTACACACCAGAATGGAGTATTGGCATTTGGTCTGCTGAAATCGGGGATAAAAAGTGCTCCCCCAACAACAACCTTCTTGAAGCTCAAAAGCTTTAAATCCTTGCAAGTCTGGGACTATGCAGGTCACTTGACTCTTGTTTTTCTGCTGCAACACTACTCCCTCCTGGAGCAACAAGAAACTGGCAATGCCACCACTTAACTCAGTTTGACTAAGGACAACTCACCTACAAACCAGATACCCAGTTCTGTTTAAGCCATGCGTGCAATGAACTCCGATGAGTTTATCTGTAACACACAATAACCACGTTATATTTAAGCACTCTTTCTCCAAAACCCAACCAGAGCAAGCCCATTTGCATTTGTCCTCCAACAGTGACACCAGCATAAACAGAAATGACCACGCAACATCACCATATTTATGTCTAATTAGCACCACCAATTCAGCTCATTAGCTCATTTAATTCTGTGAGCTCATCTGCATGGCCACAGCTCACTGCAGGGAAGACATAGTTAAAAGCCCCACAAAAAACTGTCTCACATTTCCTGGGCACTAACAGCTTGCTGCTTACACCGCTACCAAAAAGCGACCAGTATTTACAGTCAGCCTAGGGATGGAGTCTCAAACTCAATTAAAGCTTGACTCATTGCCAAGTTATCAAAAAGCCAGTATGAATTCCTTTACCATAACAAACTGATCTTAGTGCCTTGACATTCACATGCCAAGAGAAGGAAAAGAAATCAATGCTGTTCATCACTGGCCTCCAAGTCTGCAGTGCCCTTCCCAACAACAGCAACGGAAGGGAAACCCACACTTACCATTGTCTTTGTTGTCTCTCAAAAACTTTTTTACAACACATTTGAATTGAAAAATGGTGTGCCTGTTTGGTATTTCATGTCCCATTGTCATGATCTTTGAGTAGCAGAGTGTGGCTGGGAGCTCCTACAAGAAAGTCAATAATTTCCAGAAAAATCACAAGGATTCTTATAAATTAGAGAACCATAGACCATAAGCCAGAAAAAGCCAAGCTTTTCAACTAAGCCCAAAAGAGCAGAAACACAGTTTTAGGCAAGAAAACTTCTGCTTCACTCCCTTGAAATAGTACCAATATTCCAGAGTAGCCTGATTGCATTTTTATTTCCCATGCCTTTGCTCTTTCCTCCCTGGGGAAGATGAAGCACATGCAGAGGCTGGAACACCTTTCCAAGCAATTATCCACACGTTTGATACCACAAGCCAAAGCTGGTTTTAATCAGCTCTTCATTCAGGACAGCCTATAACAACAAGCTTTAGGGTATCCCAAAACTTGTGCTGGTTGGTACGAAGAGGATCTGCACGGTGCGGGTTAAAGACCCCAGACCTGTACTTGATTGAAAACAAAGACCCCATCCCGATAGGCCTACAATGCTTCAATTCATCCCCCTTGCCAGAGGACTTGAGTGCCTCACACTCTTTAAAGTTATCTTCTTGTAGGAAACATCTTCCACTTTATCAGCAGTATCAGGGCTTACACAGAGCTTCATTTCCCTGACAGTAAGACCAAGACTGACCTCTGGCCTGTAGTAGCGAGTTGTGTACGTCAGGTCAATGATCAGGCCCAGTTCTTCCTTCTGTTCTTTGATTTTCTTAATGAGGTCACGAGGCGAAAATCTCTCCTCTGGATGAAGGTTCTGATCAAAGCTCTGAGGAGACATAATGTTTAAGAGCAGACATTAAACTTGGGTGCACTGCAACTGGTGGGAAGAGATTCATGCTGCAGAACCTCTCAAAGATCATCCCTTAAAAGAGAAAGATGCAGGCAATGAGCAAAGGCAGATACAGACTGACACCCAAATTACACTGAGCCAAATCAGAATGTGCTCAGGCCCTCACTTCTTTGGGATTGTTCAGCTGAAGGTTTCCAGGACTGACTAGAGCCTATATACTGTGGTAAAACACTGCAGCGTGACAAACAGACCCAACAATGGAAGTTTTCATTTGATGAAAGCTATAAAATAGGTTTTCAGCTCAAATGGAGGTGAGCGAACAGCAGTGCTCCCCAACAAGAGCTCCGCAAGCCCCACAGACATGACCCACAGTGACTTTAGGTGTAAATGCTGTGCCCAAACCACTCTGGAGCATAGCTTACCCTAGCATACACTGGCAGGGACCTCCAGGCACAGCAGGGCAGGCAGTTCACACACCAGCAACGCTGCCACACCGACCCCTCACACACCAGCAATGCTGCCACACCGACCCCTCACAGCCTCCACTCCTGAAACTCAGCGCTGGCACCACATTCATGGGGCTGCACGGCCTCCAGGCACCTGGCAGCTCTGGCAGGTGCTGCCCACAGCATCCCTCCTGCCCTAACAGAGCCAGCCCGAGCAGACTGCCTTGTATCTGGGGTGCCTGGGTGGTGCTGTCAACATCCAGAAAGCTGCCAACAACCCCCAGAAGTGGTTCCTGGCCACCTCCATAACATGAACACCATGAATCCCATCACACGCTCTGACCGCTCAAACACCAGTGACCGCACTGTGCTCCTCCCTCCCTCGGGCTACAACGCACTTCCAAAAATAAACAACAAAATGACCTGCTGACGCTCTTTCCCGTTTTTTGGAAGGAATCCTCCACAGACCGATATCTTCCCACAGCTGCTTTCTATCCCAAACAGGCCCAAGGCACCGCCGGGTGCTTACCTTCTTCAGGGGGACCTTGAAGGCGATGAAGCGGGTGCCCGGCATTCTCCTGCCCAGTGGGACGTAGTCGGTCCACCTAAACCCCGCAGCACGGAGACGTTAAACAGCTGACCCAGGGACCGGCCCCGTGTTCCCCCTG